TTCTTTCCTGATCCTTGCTATTGTCATTTTCCTCTACTTCTTTTATATGTTTGTCACTCTCTTGTGACCTGCTATTTTGGGGTGCCCTGATAGTTGAAGCACACCTTGTGCTGTTGAAGCTAGAGAGGTGAGCAGTCTAAGTCTGATTCCCTGTAAAGACTTCTCTGTTGACACCCACCCCATTGGCGCTCATATGACCTTATGCAGTTGCGAGCGCCGTAAAACCCTCTACTGTAAAAAAAAAACCAACCCACTACATATGTAATTTTGTCTCTGTGACAGAAATCTCCTTCCGTGTGTGGCAATGTCACGGCAACCTTGAGATCATCCCGTGTAGCCGCGTGGGTCATGTGTTCCGGAAACAGCACCCCTACACCTTCCCAGGGGGCAGCGGACAGATCTTCGCCAGGTCAGTAGCCTACTTGCTTTCTTTTTCTGGCTTCTGTTACCTTATGCATAGCTGTCAACCAATTCGTAAAAACATGCATTAATACATTTTTGAAGGTTTAAGTACGGAAATCCTTCATAAGCCTTTAACGTTATTTTTCATTATAGTTGTTCTGTTCCTATGTCTGGATGAAAATGGTCTGTGTGTGTGTGTGTGTGTGTGCATTAATATATATTGCATGAGAAGAAGTAGTAAGAAAGGTTTTGAAAAATGGGTATTCCAATGTAAAGCGCATTGAGCTACTTTTTTGGAAATGAGCTATATAAATGTTATATATTATTATGATTAAATCTGCTTTTGTACAGGTAAATACATTTTCACCGTTTTTTAGTAATGGACACGCCGGTGCTGAAGGAAGACTATGAAAACTTTTGAAGACTGGATATGGGAAAATATACTGACAAATTGGGAAAAACACTAATAGCTAAAAAGAGAGTGAAAACAATCTTGTGTATAGTGACCGTCTCTGAGATCAAGTAGAATAACTTTATTATTGTTATCATTATTATTATTTATTTATTTATCTTTTCCTCCCTCAGGAACACCAAGCGAGCGGCAGAAGTATGGATGGACGACTACAAACAGTTTTACTTTGCCGCTGTGCCGTCTGCGAGACACGTCAACGTGGGAGAGTGAGTCACACGCTTTTCCTTGAGTTGTTTACACAGTACTGTCGTAGCTGTCCTAGACGGACACCTGTTGTCCAGCTGAAAAGTGGTTAATATAATGATGATGATGATGATAAAAAAAAGTAATAATAGCAGTCATTAAAAGTAATAAAAGAAATGTAGTTTCTTAAGAGACTGCTGAGAATATCGTGGAAGGAAAAGAAATCAAATGAGGTAGTGCTTGATGAAGCCCGCGTGGGACACTCACTGTTAAAAACAATCAGGAAACTACTATTGCAGTTTTTGAGACACCTGAATTGACATTTGGGTCTTGAACACCTAGCTCTCACTGGCAAAACAGAAGGCAAACGAGGCAGGGGAAGGCCCAGAGCAACCTACTTAGTGAACCTAAACAAATGGGTAACAGGGAAAGGTCAGGGAAACGTAGCTTTTTTAAGAGCGTCCGAGCAAAGGAATGAATGGAGAACCATGATCGCCGATGTCTGTCGTAGATCTGGCACTGGATGATGATGAAAAGTAATAATGAGAATTTATATAAGGTTTAATCTCTGGAAGGTTCAAGAGCTGTATAATGCAGAATTAGAAGCTTTTGGTTTGTCTTAGAGATGTGGAAGTAGGTGGTTGGTGGGTGCTCTGGTGTGGTCTGTTCCTTCTTTCCTATCAAACCTCTATCGTCCTTATCTCCCCTTCTTTTTTGTGTTTGTTACTCACTTGTAACACCTCTAAACTTCTGCACTTATATGACCTTATTGTGTTGCAAGTGCCGTAAAACGCTTACTAAAACTTAACAAAGAGAGGTGGATGTCTTGGACAGTGTCATTGTAAGACAGAGAGAACCACCAGGGGAGAAGCGGGGAGTGGTCGTTTGTACAGCTGATTGTCTGGGACAGGTGACAGAAGTGAGACTAAAACTGACACCGTAGCATAATAATGTCACTCACAGGTCATTTCGTGAGGTAAGATAGTAGATCTGTGGTATCCAGCCTTGCCAGAAACTATTGGTTTTTATTTTGAAGAACAATTTTGTTTTGATCAATTATCAACACGGGACCCATTAGCTCTTTATCTCCGTCAAGCCGTTCTCAGAAGCTTGTGGTCGGAACCGCTGTGCCAGTGAGTCGCTGGTAGCGGCTCAGGCCCATTCCTTTACGACGGCTTTGGTATCAAATTATTTTTCTGCAATCGCTGAAAACTGGTCTCTTTATCCGGATTTCATTCATTAGGTGAAGAAGTATCAAAATAGGTTCACTTGTTAGTATTTAATTACCAATTTAGTGACGTTTTCGTCATTTTTAGATTATTTAAAACCAGAAAAGGGCCTCGGCATAATGGGTTTACCCCCCTCGGAGATAGAGAGTTGAGTATTACTTTCTGGGTCAACTTGTGGGCTGGACAAACTGCTGGCAGGCCGTAGTTCACCCATGCCCGGTCTGTAGGGAGGTTTATTCCAAACTGTACTTAACTCTTATCCTACCCCGGCTGTGATTGTCTTGTGTTTCAGCATCTCGGAGAGGCTCAAGCTGAGGGAGACGTTACAGTGCAAGCCGTTCAAGTGGTTCCTGGAGAACGTCTACCCAGAACTCAAGTGAGTGTGGCTCTGGTGTAGTTTGCTTCTTCTTTCCTATCAAACACCTATCGTCCTTTTCTCCCCTCCTTCTTTTTTATGTTTGTTACTCTCTTGTAACACCTCTAATCTTCTGGCGCTCATATGACCTTATGCAGTTGCGAGCGCCGTAAAACCTCTACTTACACTAAAGAAGTTGTGATTGTCTCTGAATACTATCAGGTTAGCTGAGGTAATAATATCGACCGTAATGCGCATAGAGCTGGCTGCTGAGCTGTAATTTGTGTGGTACAAATGCTGGATATGAGCTATTTCTATTGTTATCTATTGTTGCCTCTGTCTGCCAGGGTCCCCAACTCTCAGGACGTGGCGTTCGGCAGCATTCGTCAGGACAGTCAGTGCATGGACACCATGGGCCACTTCGCCGACGGCACGCTGGGGCTGTACCAGTGTCACAACGCAGGCGGGAACCAGGTAATGGACTGTGTACCTTTGCCAGACCTGCCACTCATCCCGATTTAATCGGGATATCCCGATTTTTTGCCCCAATCTCAAGCATCCCGATTTTCCCGATTTCGATCGCCAGTATCCTGATTTTTCGTGGTTGCGTCTGTTGCGTCTGATTCTTACCAAAAAATATAAAAAGTTCTGCAATCTCTTTTGCTTGGAAACACCGATTGGACTTTTTATCTGCAGGAACTTGGAACGCTATTTTCTAAAGCATCTATGCTGAATCTAGGTCTAGTACATGGCTAACGTACGTTATTTAAACTAAAATCGACCTAGTTTCAAACGCTCACTCGCATCACATGACATGACCTCGTACATGTGGTGAGTTGCGCGTGTGTCGGGGACCGTCGGTTGTCGGGGTCAACAAAGTTCATTCACACCGGTCGCGTTGGTCGAGGTGTTTTTTCGGGACTTAACCAGTGTGGACGACCGGGGGGAGGGGGTGGGGGTATTGTTTTGACATTTGGGCTTAAAGTGCGTGCCGTGATACAGGTACTAATTAAGGGGAAAGGAATAAGAAAAAAAAATGAACAACCTTGGCGCGATCTTTTTTTCGATGTGATGGAAGTCAAACGTTGTTTTAAAACGCGGGCGTTTTGCGTGGATGATTCGAGTTACGTGTCAGCTATTTTCAAGACTACGAGTGTTTCAGCATCACTGCGACCTTCGCTCCCCCAGTCTATTTAACTTCGACTCGAGTACATATATGCTGTCAAAGTTTTGCCTTGCATACTTGCCTCTTAAAAGGGAACCAGGACACCCCCCCCCCTCCCCGCCTTCCCCAGTGCCCTTTATGACTGATTTGCCGTTGATCCCGATTTTTTTCACCAGATCCTGATTTTTTAACTCAGAAATCCTGATTTTTAGATTTCATAGAGTGGCAGGTCTGCTTTGCACAGATCACCATTTTTGGGGTGATAAATCTGGAAATATGGATTTCTGAAACTGTAAGATTTTGCCACACTCTTGTGTTATGACACGATGGAATCAGGCCCTCAAAAATTTCTTGTCATATTATTATGAAGTTATTGGCATTGTCTGAAAACTTGTTCATTTGTCTTGCTTTTGATGAACAATACACCTGTATCTTGAATAGAAGTGGAGATCTTTGTGATTGAACATGGTGAGGATCGCCTTGTGACAGAGGGAAAATTAACATTAATTTGATGAATTCTAATGCTTCCTTGGAAACTACGAATTTACATTTTTTTCTTTTTTAAAAATGTTTTTCAGTAAAGTCCACCCGGAAATGTGTTTATAAATGGACAAAAAAGGTCTTGTTCTACCAGTGCTTTTGTGTAAACTGACATGTATTTTTTTGTTGTTGGGGGGAGGGGGGGGATATGGGGGGTCTCGTACTGAATCACCCCTTTCCCAAGGCAGAAAATATTCTGCGAAATCTCCGGCGAGCACCCAGGAACTATTTGGAGACGTACTCCCGCACACAGATGCACTGCTTTGGGGGGTCAAACTGTGTATTGTTTGCTGCAGATCACACATATAGCCACTAAAACTGTCGCAAGTCAATTATTTTCCAAAAAATGTCAAGCCTGACTGCAAAATATCAAATTATGGGTTAAAACAGGGTGCCCCCTGTAACCCCCCAGATTTTTTTTTACTTGGTCCTGAGGCACAGGCATTTTGATTGGTCTATCTCCGTTGGAGACGTCTCCGGACAGAGACTGTTCTTTCCACCACATCTCACCAATGGTAACTCTGTCCTTTCCATCTGTGCAGGAGTTCTCCCTGAGCAAGGAGGGTCAGATCAAGCACCTGGACCTGTGCCTCACCCTGGTGGGCACCAAGCCGGGCAGTGTGGTCAAGCTCTTCCAGTGTCGCCACAACAACAACCTGCAGGTACGTACGCACGTACACGGTCACAGCACGGTATTAGTATTAAGTATGAGTGTGTATTGACCCTGTGTCCCCTGTATGTCCACCCAGGTGTTCAGCCCTGTCTGTCTGTCTGTCTTTCTGCCTGTCAGTCCGTCCGTCCGTCTGTCTGTCCGTCCGTCCGTCTGTCTGTCTGTCTGTCGTACGTTCCCACAGGTGTTCAGCCAAACAGGCAGCAAAGACCAGCTTAATCACTCCAAGTCCAACCTGTGTGTGTGTGTGTGTGTGTGTGTGTGTCTGTCTGTCTGTCTGTCTGTCTGTCACACACTAACCCCGCCTCCCCTCTCTGTACACACAGGTGTTCAGCCAAACAGTGTGAGTGTGTGTGTGTCTGTGTGTGAGTGTGTGTGTGTCTGTGTGTGTGTGTCTGTCTGTCTGTCTGTCGCACACTAACCTCGCCTCCCCTGTCTGTACACAGGTGTTCAGCCAAACAGGCAGCAAGGACCAGCTCAAACACGCCAAGTCCAACCTGTGCCTGGACAGCTCCGAGTGGAAGACCCAGGGAATCCTGGCCAACCGCTGCAACGGCTCGCCCGCTCAGAAGTGGTCCTTTTCCCTCAACAAGGACAGATAGGACACTGGATGGGGGAGAGGGAGGGGTTGGGGGGAGGGGAGGAGGGTGTGGGGGGGAGGGAAGAACACGTGAATGAGGGAAGGACGGGGATGGACTGATGGACTCTCGCTGGTCTATCATCAAACACTGCTGTCTGTTGTTGCTGTTGTCATCATCAGCTGTTGCTGTTGTCGTCAGCTGTTGCTGTTGGACGAGCCAATAAGCTCAACAAAGCTGTTGTCCTTTTTGGGAATGGTTACTTAACGTTGAAAGCTTTAAGATAACATAAGATAAGGTAAGATAAGAATTTATTGTCCTTGCGAGAAATTTTATGTGGTTTTACGGGAATGATGAAACACATGCACATATACATAGAGTTTTAATTATATATTACTTTCATAATAGTATTTCAATATGACGAGAACAATATGAACTGACCATAATACCATATGTCACATGATGCATATTTCAAACCACATGCAGGAATTTATCTTAGATCTTTAAAAGTTATATATAGATATGATATTGGACATAGTAAGAAGACCAGTGATTGCCAGCCAGGGAGACATATCCCACTAGTGGGCGATTTGGTCATTTCGATGGGCGGTGGGGTCACTGGGGTAGTGATTGGTATTTTTAAACCATCTTTTCACGAAATTATAACAATTACCTGCCAGACAGCAAAATATTTTGGAGGCGATATGTTGATCTAATGCTCCCTTTTTTTCCCACCTGCACTAACAGTGGCACACCAGGGTTTGTGGTGTAGTGGGTAGATGGTTCGCTTGTGAACATAGGAGACCCGAGTTTGATTCCCGAGTGGGGATGATCTTTACTGGGTCGGAAAATTAAATGATCTAAATTGTAGGGGCCGTAAAAAAAAAAAAATGTACATTAAAATTTTTAAAAGCTTTTCAGCTGTGGCACAGAGAACAGTCAGATGCTTTCAGGGTCCGAGAAATCCCCGGCCCGACCTTGACCCCTACCTCACCTGTCCCTGCGGTCAGCGAGTGAACGTCTATGTCGCTGGCCGAGATCTCACGTGGTGAGTGGGCGGGGGAGGGCCGGATATCCAACGTCCGTACTGACTGCTTTGTGCCACACCACGGGTTTACGCCATAATTTATTGATTATAATGATGAGAATGATAGTGGATTAATGATGATGAGAGGGATAATAATGATAACAATGATGATGGATTAATAATGATAATTAGAACAGTAATGGATTGTGTTGATGTAACAGATTTTCTATCAGGCGAGGCCAGGGGGGGGGGGGGGCGTGGACATCCTATCTCTGCACTGACTGCTTCCTGCCTTGACGGTATGCAATAATTTGTTGACAGTGATTGTAATAATATTAATAATAATGGTAGTGGATTACCACTGGAATATTTGATGATCTATCAAGGAAATGATAATGGATTAATGGATAATGACAATAATGGTGGTACAGCACGTTGTGTTGTTTTGCCGGGTTGTCCTGTGGGCGAGCTGCGAGTGCCTGTGTGGGACAAGTGGGAGATCGGCTGATGTCGTCAACCAAAAGGGAGAAGAATAAAAAGTTGTCAGCTGAGTAGAGAAACCAAACTAAAATTTTATTTGGGTCCGGTGTCCTATATTTTTATGGGTGCCAAGATATTGGTTCAGTTTACGACATGGTGTCCTCAATATTGGACACGGTTGTTACACTTGGTTGTAGTGGGAAAAATCACGTGAAAATTGCTGCTGATGTCGCTGCAGTTGTCTCTCTTGGAGCCTGAAACGAAGGAAGGAAGGAAGGAAGGTTGATGAAATGACAGTGATCTTGGAGTCATGAGTACTGCGCACGGTTTTATCGTTTCAACAGATGTTTTTGTTTGATTGATGACATAACATTACGTTATTTGCCTTAATTAATTAACAGCTTCCATGTTTGTTTGTATATTGGGCATTTATGATATCATTTCTTCTCCTACTGTATTTATCAATGTCAGCAATGCATAATTTGGGGGACAATTTGTAGCCCCAACTCGGGATAACAAATGATTTTAGTCAGATGCTTCCAGTTTTCTTGGAACGCGACAACAGTAGTAGTGTGTTATTAACTGAAATAGTCCCTGAGGATATTACTACCATTCAGAAGAGTGTGTGATGAATATGTTTAAGTTTTTCAGGTTCATGCTGGGTTTGAATGTGTATTAGCAAAGACTGTAAGCACGCGTGTAATGTGTTCATCATGACACAGAGAAGGACCACTGCTGATATTATGGCTCTAATTTAAGAACATTTCCATTGCTCTTAGAATACTGCCCACGTCTGCAATATTTTATTTACAGTTACCGAGGGGCAGTTGGGTTTTTTATTGTCCTGTGTCTTCATTGAGAAGTTTGGAGGAAGTGAAAGATTTATTTGTTAATATCTTTTTCTGACTTTGCACTGATGTAAACTACCACAAACTTCTGTGTTGGCATCCACCCCTTGGCGCTCATATGACCTTATGCAGTTGTGAGCGCCGTAAAACCTTCCTGAAACAAAAACTAGCACAGGCAAAGCTGTCCTCACCGCAGTGTTTGTTGCTGAGTCCACATGTAGAGCTACCGCTGCTGAAGGAAACCCTCGATGTTTGTCTGTCTGCCGTGAGGCGAGCTATTTTTGTCCGTGTCTGATTGGCCTGAGTGGAGTTGTTCCCGTGAAAGTTTAGTACAAGGACCAGATCTCCCATGTACATCATGGGTTATTCCACATGCTCTTTGGGCCATTTTCTTGTTTTGCCAACATTTTGACTTGACACTTTGAGTTGTCCAATGTCATGTGTTCCAGTGCTGCAGTGTCCCGTTCTACACTTTCTACCTTTCACAAAGGACTTCAATTCGTGTGTTCCAATGCTGTAGTGTCCCGTTCTACACTTTCTACCTTTCACAAAGGACTTCAATTCGTGTGTTCCAATGCTAGAGTGTCCCGTTCTACACTTTCTACCTTTCACAAAGGACTTCAATTCGTGTGTTCCAATGCTAGAGTGTCCCTTTCTACACTTTCTACCTTTCACAAAGGACTTCAATTCGTGTGTTCCAATGCTAGAGTGTCCCGTTCTACACTTTCTACCTTTCACAAAGGACTTCAATTCGTGTGTTCCAATGCTAGAGTGTCCCTTTCTACACTTTCTACCTTTCACAAAGGACTTCAATTCGTGTGTTCCAATGCTAGAGTGTCCCGTTCTACACTTTCTACCTTTCACAAAGGACTTCAATTCGTGTGTTCCAACGCTAGAGTGTCCCGTTCAATGTTTCACCAAGGACTTTCAATTCGTGAATTTCTTCTGAAATCGCCGAAATTGAAAATTCAAGTCCTGCGCTGTGCTCAGTTCTGAAAAGTCTCTCCTTTGGTGGAGAAGCAAAACGGTTCCTTCAGCAGCAAGCCGTGGATGTTCATCAGTCTTCTCATAAACTTTTGTGTTTTGAGAATGACAGACGTCAACTGAATCATCAGACGACCCTCAAGCCAGTAGCTTAGTTGACATCATGCTGGACGGCTGAGCGGATGGCCCTGGTTCATATCCCAGACTGGGTGTTCTTGGACTTGGGCTGGTTTGTGGAGTTGTCAAGGATCTCGGCCTGTTTGACTGGGTCCTATGGGAGATGGACGTTTCATGAAATAACCTCATAGTGTTGACAGGGGCGTTGAACCCTTACACTTACTCTTGCTCAACCATGTGGTCTTGTCAACTGTTGAAAACCGGAGGGGGGTGTGAGTCGTGTGTTGTTGACGACACTTGTGGGTGGGTGGGTGTTAGGTATGAAAAATCACAATAACTTTTTAACCAATAAAGATATCAACACAGTTTAAACTGTTAATGATTGTGAAGGCAGGGGCTTTCAAATGAAAGTATTTCAAAGCATATGAGACAACTTTGAAATGTTTGCGAAGCTGCCAAGTGTGGTGTTGACACTTGTGGGTGGATGGGTGGGTGTTGTTGACGACTGTTGGGTGGGATGGGTGTGTGTTGTGCTGAGAGTTGTAGAGTCAGCTGTTTCTAGTCAGGAAGTGATTCAGGCTATTTATTTTTATTTTGCCCTGTATCATGTATGTGTGTGTGTGTGTAGAAAGTTATGGACTGTGCTGGGGACTACAGAACCACAAGTATTACTGCTGCCTGTGTGTGTGTGTGTGTGTGTGTGTGTGTGTGTGTGTGTGTGTGTGTGTGTGTGTGTGTGTGTGGAGAGATTTGTTCCTTTGACCTGTGCTTGAACTTCTTCAGATCATGACAATGGTTGGAACATTTCTGATTGCATATTTGGTTGGGGGTTTTTGTTTGGGGGGAGGGGGGGGGGTAGCAGCTCTTGTGAATTTAAAAAATCAAAATGTGGGAAAGAAGAAAGAAAAGGTAGTCTGTTCGAGTCTTCTTGCGGACCATGAATTTACATGTTTTGTTTTAAATACATCATCACACTTTGCTTATTGCTGGTTATAATTGCTTTTATTTAGCACATATCCCTGCTGTACGACATGCTCTATGCGTGCGCTGTACGACATGCTCTATGCGTGCGCTGTAGGGCATGCTCTATGCGTGCTCTGTACGGCATGCTCTATGCGTGCGCTGTACGGCATACTCTATGTGTGCGCTGTACGACATGCTCTATGCGTGCGCTGTAGGGCATGCTCTATGTGTGCTCTGTACGACATGCTCTATGCGTGCGCTGTACGGCATGCTCTATGTGTGCGCTGTAGGGCATGCTCTATGTGTGCTCTGTACGACATGCTCTATGCGTGCGCTGTACGGCATGCTCTATGCGTGCGCTGTAGGGCATGCTCTATGCGTGCGCTGTACGGCATGCTCTATGCGTGCTCTGTGCGCTTTACAGTAATGTTTTTTATTCACCATTTTGCTCTCCATAACTTGCTACTTGACGTTAATCCACTTTCGGCATGAGTTTTTCCCTTTCTTTCATTTCCCAACTGCTGGATTGTGTGAGAGATGACTCCCACTTTGTTGTGTTGTCTGTTTATTGCCAAAGATCGTACACAACAAGATCGTTCACTCCTCTCTTTGAGCCAAGTAAAAAAGTGTCCTCAAAATCCGATGGCGCCCTCTTTGAAAAAGCGCGGACTTTGCGAGCAGAGTTACCCTACTTCTGTGAAAAACAATAAAAGCGAAACTAACAAACTGTGCTATTCCTATTCTTCTTCTGGAGAAACGAAAGAGAGCTTCAAAACAAAGACTGCAGGGACATCTGATGCATTGCACGGACTTCCGCGGACACTTTTTTTTTCTGAATGAACGATCTTGTTATGTAAAATCTTTGATTATTGCGTGTGAGACGACTCTCTGTTCTATTCACCGTTTGCCATTCACGTTTGACATCGGTTTCCGATGCGTTCAACGCGTGTACTTAAGCTCACCATATTGTCTCGTCTGGGTGTGCCAGGTAACACCACAGCCTTCCCCTAATCAGTATTTAATTTTGGCCCATTTTGTCAACGTCATTTGATAAATGATTTTACATCTACCTTCATGTATATACAACTTTTTTTGTTCATCTTATTCAAATATTTTTACCTTGCTACTATTGGGTTTGGGTACCACATATATTTATTGTTTTTGCTTGTGTTCGTTCTCTCGGTTTTGTTATTTCGTCTTCGATGAGTTGTCTCCCTTTGGGATGGTTTCCCCACAGACTCGCACTACAATATCGTAGATCGGGCACTGTCATGGCCGCCAGTCTTTGCTCCCAGGAACACTTGCATGCGCTGATGCGCACCGTGGAGGCGCAGATGAAAGGCAAACACACAGCTGTCTGGCTATAGTCGAGTGTGTCACTTTTCCCTCTTTACCCTTCAGTTGGTTCCAAACAGAGCCAGATGGTGAGCTCCTGGAAATAAAGTCAGGAGAGGCCAGTCTATGATCATTGTAGTACAGTGCAGCCTCTCTCTATAACGACATGGTCGGGACTGGATAAAAATGTCGTTATAGAGAGTTGTGGTTATCAAGAGTTGTCATTATATCGTTATAGAGAGTTGTCGTTATCGAGAGTAAACTCAAAAAATTACTAATGATATCTATAAGGGAAAAATAAAATCAGGACCTGGGCACCGTGTCGCTATACAGAGGATGTGGTTCTATCGAAGGTCGTTGTAGAGAGGCTGTGCTGTAGCTATCTATGGGTTTTTCTAACAATTGTGGTCGTTGAACTACTGGAAGTCTTTGGGACGGTTTCCCCAACGGAAGTCGTGGACTTCCCCCCGAGTCACA